GGCGATCAATCTTTTCCTTCAGCTCAGCAAACTTGCAGGCAATGTGAGCCGTGTGGCAATCTAGTACAGGGGCATAGCCAGCACTGATTTGGCCTGGATGGTTCAGGATAATCACCTGAGCAGTGAAGCCAGCTGCTTCCATCGGTGGGTCGTTCTTGCTGTCACCAGCAACGTTGCCACGACGAACATCCTTGACAGACACATTCTTGACATTGAAGCCCACATTGTCCCCAGGAAGAGCTTCACTCAAAGCTTCATGGTGCATTTCAACAGATTTCACTTCAGTTGTAACGTTGACTGGAGCAAAGGTGACCACCATACCAGGTTTGAGAACACCAGTCTCCACTCGGCCAACAGGAACAGTACCAATACCACCAACTTTATAGACATCCTGGAGAGGCAGGCGCAAGGGCTTGTCAGTTGGACGAGTTGGTGGTAGGATGCAGTCCAGAGCCTCAAGCAGTGTGGTTCCACTGGCGTTGCCATCCTTACGGGTGACTTTCCAACCCTTGAACCAAGGCATGTTAGCACTTGGCTCCAGCATGTTGTCACCATTCCAACCAGAAATTGGCACAAAAGCTACTGTGTCGGGGTTGTAGCCAATTTTCTTAATGTAAGTGCTGACTTCCTTAACGATTTCCTCATATCTCTTCTGGCTGTAGGGTGGCTCAGTGGAATCCATTTTGTTAACACCAACAATTAGTTGTTTCACACCTAGTGTGTAAGCCAGGAGGGCATGCTCTCGGGTCTGCCCGTTCTTGGAGATACCAGCTTCAAATTCACCAACACCAGCAGCGACAATCAGGACAGCACAGTCAGCCTGAGATGTCCCTGTAATCATGTTTTTGATGAAGTCTCTGTGTCCTGGGGCATCAATGATAGTCACGTAGTACTTGCTGGTCTCAAATTTCCACAAGGAGATATCAATGGTGATACCACGTTCACGCTCGGCTTTCAGTTTATCCAAGACCCAGGCATACTTGAAGGAGCCCTTTCCCATCTCAGCAGCCTCCTTTTCAAATTTTTCAATGGTTCTTTTGTCGATGCCACCGCATTTGTAGATTAGATGGCCAGTAGTGGTGGACTTGCCCGAATCTACATGTCCAATGACGACAATGTTGATATGAGTCTTTTCCTTTCCCATTTTGGCTTTTAGGGGTAGTTTTCACGACACCTATGTTCTGGCGGCAAACCCGTTGCGAAAAAGCATATTTTATTTTTTCTTACTCAGTTGCATTTGTTTAGATCCAATTTCTTTTCATACTTTTTGATTGCTTTCTGAAAAAGTATTGCCAAACTACACAAAAATTTCCTGTATGGGTATATTGTATTTAAAAAACATTTTAAAACATTGACTATATAACTAGGTCATATCCTAATTTCCGTAAGTCAGATGAGTAATACATCATCTCTGCCCTTGATGAGTTCATAGTTTATGTTTTCTTCTACAACGTTCACCTCAAAGGGCTCTTTGATATGGAGATTCATGAAATCTATTGTTCTTCAATAATAATGTTTTATTTGTTTTTATTATTTAAAATTATTTTTATAGACAGAGTCTTGCTCTGTTGCCCAGGCTAGAATGCAATGGTGTGATCATAGCTCACTGTAGCCTCAAACTCCTAAGCTCAACTGATCTCGTCTCACCCTTCCAAGTAGCTAGGCCCACAGGTACATACCACCACACCCAGTCAATTTTAATTTTTTTTTGTAGAGATGGGATCTCACTGTGTTATCAAGACTGGTTTTAATCTCCTGGCCTCAAGTGATCCTCCTACTTCGGCTTCCCAAAGTGCTGGGATTATAGGAATGACCTGATGTTTTGATATATTACAGGCAATAATGATTTCTAAATGGCAATAGGGAACCAGACACCCATTCTGAACTTGTAGAGTGTACTAGAGTATCATTTGAGAAGCTTACAAGGGGAAGCAGTGTCCTTGGGAAAGAAAATGTTTTTATTAGAACAAGAAGATGGAGGGAACTCTTAAAGAAGAGGTCAAGAATATGTGAAAGTTTGCTTTTTGCAAAGCAGGAATTCCAGGGAACACATGGAAAGATTTAGGATAGGACAATAGAAGTGTCAAGGAAGACGGAATGTCATGTGGAATTTGGTCTAGTAAAAGCAGCTCATTGAAGGAGGCCTGACATTTGGTGTTAACTAATGTCATGAGGAGAGAGGCAATCTCTCTGAGGAAGGTGGGCATTAGACCTAAAGGCCAATATACTTAGATAACATAACCTGGACTGATGTTCATGTCAGGATGTCAGTCATCCCTAAGTCTGTTCTTAACACAAATGACCTGAGATGGCAGTTTGTGGGGAGAGTGGTTTTTTTTTTTTTTTTTTTTTTACATGAACTTAATGTCTGAAAAATGTTTTTGCTACTTCTCCCTTTTCATTGCTTATAATATAGCATTCTCCAACTTAGTGATTTTTTTTTTTAGATTTTGCAATGGAAATTTTCAAGAAACAAAAGAGAGCTTCACGCTCAAACAGGAAAATGTCCTTCCTCAAAAAATCTAGTGTAAGGAAGCCATCAGTGAGACCCAGGTAAGATACAGAACCTGGCTACAGCAACATCTTCAGGCACAGGTTTCTGAAAAATCTCAACATGTCTAATACTGACCTTATCTTTCTATGTGTAGGTTTTCGGACCCTTTTCCATATACAATACATATAGGCACAGACACTCTTCATAGTTTAAATCATTTATTTTCTAAAATTAGCACTGTGCTACATATATATTATACAATAACTTTTTTAACTTAAGCTATCATAGACATCTCATGCCAGCATGTGCTGTTCTACCTCCTTCCCTGAGTGTGGTATAACGTATATAGACTTTACATTGTCTTTAATTTTTTAACCGCTATAAATAGTACCACAATAAACATCTTTGTACATGTTTCTTTGCCTATTTGTGTTTGCTGGATTATGTACTGCTGTACATAATGGTTTCTTACTACTTGTCTCTCTCCACTTATAATAAATCTGAGAATCGGCCTCTGGTAAGGTCCCACAACTAGGCAAAGACCCTGTGGCCTCTTCTTTCAGGAGTGCCCACCCACCTTTGTTTCCATGTACCTTGGCATAAGTGCCACCTATACATAAAAAGTTCTCCAAATATTATGTTTGCTGTAACTTCCTTCTTGTCTGAAACCCTAAATGTCTGAAGTACAATATCAAGCACTTACATGTACTACTTTCTACTGATCTTTACTTTTTAGGTATGTTTTCCAACTTCTTGACTTGACTATAATTTTATTGTAGGTCATAGCATTCAGTTACTCATGTATTTTTATTTGTTCAGTTATTTTCTGTCTATAACGGCTAACTATATGCAAGATCCTCTTCTAGATGATGAGGATATAGAAGAACATATAAATATGTTAATCAAAATGTCCACAGAATATTTTGCATAGAAAAAAACTCCCACAAAAATTTTTTTTTAATTAATTTTTTTTCTTGAGACAGGATCTCACTTTTTTTGTCCCAGCTGGAGTGCAGTGGCTCAATTACGGCTCACTGCAGCCTCAACCTCCCTGGGCTCAAGTGATCTACCCACTTCAGCCTCTCAACCTCCCTGGGCTCAAGTGATCTACCCACTTCAGCCTCTTGAGTGTGTGGGACTACAGGTGCATGCTGCCATGCCTGGCTTTTTTTTTTTTTTTTTTTTTGTAGAGACTGGGTCTTTCCATGTTGCCTAGGTTGTTTTCAAACTCCTGGGCTCAAGTGATCCTCCCATCTCAGCCTTCCAAAGTGCTGAGATTATAGGCATTTGTACCCAGACAAGAATGTTTTCATTTACTGATGATATTCACTGAGGGTGATAAGTCTTTTGTCTCTTCTAATCACTCTGAATAGATCTTGCTCCCTTTAAGCAACTGAAATTATTCTCTGAGGTTCAATCATTTGTCCCTTTTGCTTTTCCAATTTGTCCTAGTCACTGCTCTCCATTATGTCTATAGAAATATTTATTTTCCAATTTAGTTAAGCATGAATACCACAGAAGTCTTAAATCACATATCTGTAAGAAAATTAAGTTCTAGAAGACATATCAGGGTCATATAGTCTAGTTTCGTGACTTCGGTTAAGACCAAGCAGAATAGCTCGGGGATATCACAGTTGCAATCCTCTTAAACCTTGTCCCTATCTCTTATTCAACAAGTAAATGGCTATTGATCATATACTGTATTCTAGACACTCTGTGAGTTCTAATGATACAAAATTAAGACATAGTCCTTGCCCTTAATCTAATTATGTAACTAAAGAAAATGCAAGGCTGACCTTAAAATGTTATGATAAAATATTAGCTAATACATATGGGAGTATAGTGAAAGGAGAGAGAAATTTTGAGTGAGGATCAGGAAAAGTTAGAATATCAAAAGATGCCCAGAACTGCATGTGTAAATTCAATTGCAAAGAAATTGAAGTATTAACTCATGAATATAAACGTAATATTCAAAGACTTGAAAATAGTCCAGTGGTGTTGAAGTACAGAGTGCATGTGGTGAAGGGACGTAAAACATAAAATTTAAAAGCCAGATTGAGACCAAATAATTAGAGAAAGGTCTTGGGTAGATTATGAAGGAACTTGCATTGTTTAAATGACAGTGAGGATTCTTCGGGGTTTGTTGGAGCAGTGGGTGGCGGAAGTATCTGTTGTATGGATTTTTTAAATATTACTCTGACAGAAATGAGAATATAAAGAGTCAGACATCCAGAGGTTGAAGGCAGAGATAATAGTTGGAAAGTCTTTGCAGTCATTCAGGCAAACAGTAAAGATCTGAGTAAACCGTGGAAGCGAAATGGAAGGGAAAATGTAGATGTACAAAACAATGAAGGAAGGGATTCAGATTTCTGGAATGGTAGAGCAAGAACTTTGTAAGTAGTCACTCCATAAAAGCAAACCTGGGAAAACCTGTCAAAAAGAATTTCAGAGCTCTGTCAATTAACTGAAGGCATGTAACAAATCAAAAACTGTTTATGCAAGAAAACAACCAGACCTCAGTAAGAACAGCGTCATCTGTGGCATGTTACTTGTAATCACCCGCATCACTGACAAGCTGGACAGCCATTAGTACCAGCCATCTTACTGCCAGCAGAAGAAACTGATACGGTTTGGAGCTCCACAAAAAAGCCGATGACCAGCAAAACCAATAGCCATCCTTGTGGCAAACAACCAGGAGACCACTCTCACACCCACTTAAGGCAGTGATACTAGTTGGGCAAGCGGTAAAACAGCCAAAAGTATAAAAGGAAAATCTGGGAGCAAGATATTCCCAAGGGACTGTGCAAATGCTGTGGAGATGCTCAAGACAGACTGAAGAGAAGCCCAATTATCTGTTTATCATTGGCTGATCATGAGGCACTGAAAACTAGTATATAAAGAAAAATATGAATTCAAACGAGAAACAGCTGAGCAGACACTTTAGTAGCCACACACTTCAGGGGAAATATATTCTACAGAGCTAGCCCACGTAAGTCATTTAACAGAAAACAAAATATTAAAAAAGCAAACAAAACCATCAACAGCAGCAATCTTTGGTGGATGAGGGGTGGGGTGTAAATTCAGAATCCAGAGTTGTGATAATATATTATCCCAAATTCAACTTTAGACAAAAAATTATAAGACACACATGCAAAGAAAAATCCGAGAAAAGTATGCCCCATCCACAGGGAGAATAAAGGCAGTCAATAGAAACTCTCTCTAGGGTGATTCAGATGTTGGACCAAAGACTTCCAAGCAATAGGTTCAACAAACTAAAGAAAACCATGTCTAAAGAATTAAAGGAAGTCTGGGCACAGTGGCTTACACCTGTAATCCCAGCACTTTGGAAGGCCAAGGAAGGTAGATCATGAGGTCAGGAGTTCAAGACCAGCCTGGCCAATATGGTGAAACCCCATCTCTACTAAAAATACAAGAATTAGCTGGGCGTGGTGGTACGCACCTGTAGTCTCAGCTACCCAGGAGGCTGAGGCAGAAAAATTGCTTGAACCCTGGAGGCAAAGGTTGCAGTGAGTCTAGATCACACCACTGCACTGCAGCCTGGGCAACAGAGTAAGACTCTGTCTCAAAAAAAAGAATTAAAGGAAGATATTCTGGCAATGATCAATCAAATAGAGAATATCAATAATGAGACAGAAATTATAAAATACAACAAAAAAATCTAGCATTGAAAAGTATATAACTGAAATGAAAAATTTACTCAAGGCAATCAATAACAGATTTAATCATTAGCCAGACCAAATCATAGAGATTTTGACAGAAAATCATAGAGATCCACACATAGACACATCATAATCGAACTGTTGAAAGATAAAGACAGAAAAATCTTGAGTGCTACAGGAGAAAAAGGATGTATCATATTCAAGGGAACTACAGCAAGATTAAAGTTTATTTCACATCAGAAACAATGATACCAAAGGTAGTGAGATTATATTTTCAAACTAAGCTCAAAGGAAATAAATAATAACTATTAATGTATAGATGAAAAAGAGAAAAACATAGAAAATCTAGGCAAATAAGTTAGTTTTTTGTAGAGATCAATACAATTGTTAAATTGTAAGATATACTGACCAAGGGAAATAAGATGACACAGATAATCAACATCTGGTTTTAAAGAGCATATAATTACTGCCCTGCAGAAATTAATATGATTGTAAGGAAATGCAAGAAACAAATTAGGCAACTTAGATGCAATACATAAATTTCTAGAATTTATGAAGTAAATTCTGAAGTAAGCTAGCTACCTTTCAAGGAAAAGTAAAAAATGTGAATAAATCTATAATAAGAAAAGAATCAAATTAGTAATTTAAAGTTTTCTCACATAGAAACACCCAGGCAGAGACAGCTTCACTGCGGAGTTCTATGAAATATTTAAAGGATAAGTAATGTCAATATTCCATGACCTCTTTGAGGAAACAGAGAAAGAAGAAACACTTGCCACCTTATTCTTTGAGGCCAGTATTATCCTGATCCCAAAGCCAGACCAAAGACATAATAAGAAAAGAAGACCACAGACCAATACTCCCTCTAGTTTCTAGATACAAAAAACTTCAATACAATATTTGCAAATCAAATCCAGCAATACATAAAAAAGATCAGTGGCCAAGCTTGGTGGCTCGTGCCTCTAATCTCAGCACTATGAGAAGCCAAAGTGGGCAGATTGCTTGAGCTCAGGAGTTTAACACAAGCCTGGGCAACATAGTGAAACTCCATCTCTACCAAAAAAAATACAAACATTATTAGCTGGGCATGATGGTACACGCCTGTAGTTACAGCTACTTGGAGGCTAAGGTCGGGGGGATCACCTGAGCCTGGGAGGTCAAGGCTGCAGTGAGCTGTGTTCATGTCACTGTACTCCAGCCTGGGTTACCAAGTGGAATTTATCCTAGGAATACAAGGAATGAAAAAACAGTTAATATACCATATTAATGACACAAGGGGAAGAAATTCACATGATTATCTCAACTGATGCAGAAAAAAAAAGCCTTTTACAAAATCCAGCACATATTTGTGATTTTTGAAACTCTCAATAAGATTAGAATAGAAGGGAAATATCTAATCCTGATAAAGGGCATCTATTAAAGATCTATGGTTAACATCATACTTAATGAAATAGGTATATAAAGGAAAAGCAAGTTGGTCAAGATGTGGGTGTGTGTGTAGAGAGGTTTAAATAATAACTATGACATAAAGATGAGGATTTATGGGCAGTTCAAATTTAGAAGTGGAGAATATGGGAACTGGAGATACAGTTTCGCCACATCAATAAAATTTGAAATCACTTCCTCCTATCAATAAACATTGAAACCACAGAGAAGGCACAGATTACTCAGGAAAAACCATAAGGCAAAAGAATAGAGGACTGAGGATGAAACATTAGGGGTACCTTTACTCAAGAAGCAGTGAAAGAAGAAACCAGCAAAGGAAATTTAGAAACATTAATCAAAAACCGCTAATCATGCCCTGCCTCACAGAAATAAGTGCCAATTAGGAGTTGTTTTGAATCCATAATGTAAAAAGAGAATCCCCTTGAAAAAATTGTACCCGTTAAAATATTTTCCTTCATCTTCCATTGGGAAGGAAGATATTGGACCAGACTTAGAAAGGGTACATGAAAGTTCAAGTTTATCACCAAAGAAACAAACAGATTTAACCAATTCATCCACAGTGCTCTTCACACATGGCTTAAGGCCCTAAGCCTAGGCAATGCGCTTCCCCATTTTCTAATTGAGACAGAATCCATAGTCATCATTCCTTTCTCTCTGCCAAAGATGGTTTCTTGTTTTCCAGAAATTTGACAGAAGTCCTCTTAAATACACAGCACTTGGAGTTCTTCAGGGAGTTCCTCGAAGAACGGAAGGCTGGAAGCCCATTGCAATTCCTGATAGCTGTACAGAAGATCAGTATAGAGACCAATGAAAAGACGTGCAAGTCTCTCATAGAAAAAGTAGTCAACACTTTCTTCCATGGCCACCTCTCTCCTGGTATGTGACCTCTTCTGATCCTGTTTTCCTTCTCCTTTCAGTGTCTTAGGAGAATAGCCTGGGAAATAGCATGTCTTATGTGAGACCCCAGAGATAGCAGTACAGAGTGACAGCCTCATGGGGCAGTACTGAGACAAAGATTAAGAGGGAGGGCAAAAGCAGAGAACAGTAATAATAAATCCAAAGTCTTAATACGAGTTGTATTAGTCTGTCCTCACACTGTTGTGAAGAAATGCCTGAGGCTGGTCATTTATAAAGAAAAGGGAAATTGACTCAGTTCCACATGGCTGGGGAGGCCTCAGCAAACTTTCAGTCATGGTGGAGGGCACCTCTTCACAGGGTGGCAAGAGAGAGTATGAGTGCCCAGGGAAGGGGGAAGCCCTTGTAAAACCATCATATGTCATGAGAACTCACCCACTATCACGAGAAGAGCATGGGGGAAACCACCTCCATGATTCAGTTATCTCCCCCTGGTCCTGCCCTTGACATGTGGGACTTATTACAATTCAAGGTGAGATTTAGGTGGAGACACAGAGTCAAATCATATCACCAGTAAAAGAAGCCAAGAGCAAGATACTTTCACATGTATCCTCTCATTTAATTTTATTTAATTCTAAAAGCAGAATTTTATTTAATCCCTGAAATTTAGGGACAGGCATCTCCACTTGACTAACGAAGAAAGGGAAACACAGAGAGATTAACTAGCTTGTACACGTCGTAGAACTTGAATTCAAATTCAAGTCATTTGACCATTAAACCAACTAGGGTGAAGCTAGATACAAAAAGCAAGAGTTAGCTGTCTGCAAAGGTGGCGTGTCTGCCACCCATGAATTGTGAAGACACTTGTACTGGGAAGGAGAAGTGTGCACGTGAAAAATCTTTGTTTCAGAAGTTGTGTCTTATTTTGTTTCCTAAGTTGGGAGGATAAATATGGTAAATAAAGTCTTCTTGGCCAAGAGCTGAAGTTGCAATGAAGATAGCGCCTCCTATTTTGTCACAGACTGTATTTTTGTGTGTTTGGTTTTTGCTTTTAGTAAACCAAGATAAGGAAATAAATTTTTTATGAATATAGAAAAATAGGTCAAATTAACAAATATTTATTCATAAGCATTATTTATTTGTTGAATCTCAGGATGTTGAGTTCTATACAATATTTTGAATGAGCTAGAAGAGGAAAAGTGTCCAGATCCTGTCCTTGATTATTTTCAAGTCTCATCAATGAACACAACAGTCTCTGAATGAATACCTGGAGAACCATATCACCCTCACAATACTTATCTGAAATCTTGGATTCCCCATCTGCCCAGCAATTTAACTGTAATCCTTTCCTCTTCTGCTTTCTCTCTAAATCCAAATTTTCAAACCAGCTGCAGAAATAAGTCCTTTAAAAATTTTTTTCCTCTTAAGCACGCATCTTCGAAATTTGAATAAAACAAAATGAGGAAAAGAATTTGGTTTACAAATGGGTTTGCACATCACATTTCAAATATGCTTTGGAGATTTTCGAACAAACTGTGGAGGACTCAGAGTTTAGCCAGATTGAGAATGGGTGTTGTGAGACTCAAGATGAAAAAACCACCAGCTATCTCAAATGGTAGACCAGGATTACAGCTTCTTTTCTCTCTTGCATTTTCTAGAAGAAATGCTGCAGTGTGATGCCCCTATTATCAAAGAAATCACTCACATGCATCATGTGACCATGACCAAATTGTTAGAGCTCCAGGGACATATTATGAAATCTATAGAAGAAAAGTGGTAAGTATACTCAATGAAAGAAAGGATTCTTTCTGGAGTTGCTCCTTGGCTTCTGAAAGCCATATTCATCAAGGGTTTCATAATCCATTTTCATAGGTCATTGCCAGAGCCTCTCTACAAAATAAAAAGTCAAACTTATCTTGAACTCCCCCACCTATCTACCACACACACACACACACGTTTCTGTTTATTTGCATTAATAAACAATAGTGTTGATCAGGAAGGTTAGGCTGACACTAACAAAGGTCTGATATAGTAAGAAGAGAATTTTTTGGTATTTCATCATTCCCCAATTACCACTCAGACTTCCTCCAGAAGCTGTGGTAGGTTTGCCTGGACTGTTATCTTTTATGCACCAAGTTTTTGTGCTGTTTCATATTCCTGATCTCCTTCTGGCAGGTTTAAAGAATATCAAGACCTGTTCCCACCTCACTCTCAGGAGGTGGAAGTACAAAGTGAAGTACAACCTTCATCTAGGAAAGCCTCAAAGACAGTGTCAACTTGCCTACAGGAATTCCAGGTTAGTGCAGAAGAAAGTGGAACAAGACATTGGAGACAAGAAAATCACTGTCTCAGGGGTAGGTTTTTAAATCCCCATTTTGCAAAGGAGGAATCCGAGACTCAGAGAAATTGTTATACTAGGAATTTAAGGAAGTTCCTCTCTTCTCTACCTGTGATTAGAATCAACTTAGTAATAGGTACAGGGACTGGACACATGGAGTTCTACTAGTTGAAAGTTAGTGTGGAGGATGTGGATTGGCAGTGAAGCAAAGAGGTTTTGCTGGTCCTCTGCATCCAAATTAAACTTACAAACCCAGTCACTGGTCTAACAGAACAACTTAGACCTCCACTTACCAGGGTGAATCTCTTGCTGTATATCAAAAGCTGAGCTTAAAAAAAGTGTCCTGCAGACAGACAAACCAGAGACAGAATGCAAAGTGCTGAGAACAAAGTGCACCATTTCCTTCTTTCAAACCATCTAGCTCATTCCTTCTCCTATGGGAGGACAGAAAAAAGGAAGAAAGAGGAAACAGGAATGTTACTCAGGAAACTCTCTATGTGGTTTGAGAACAAAAAAAAAAGAAAGAAAATACATGTCCCCTTAGAGAATCACTTGCTCAATGTGTTTTAGAGCTGGTCAGCATCGGAATAATTTTAGTCCAGCTCTGTCTGACTCCAAAGATCATTCTAAGACAACTCGGAAAATAATGCCTAAGCCCAATGATCCAATGCTCCAGGGATGAAAATCTATTGCTCTCGCCTCTCTGCTCTGTATTTTCTCCATGTATGAATAAACTCCATGTCAGGGCACCATGAATGGTCATATAGACTACTAAAAAGAATACTTTACCCAGAACCAGTGTACTTGGTTTAATTTCAGGCCTTCCAGTTGTTCTTAGAAAATAAGATGAAAGGAAACCAACATGTACTGAATGCCTCCTCTTTGCCAAGCACTGCATTGGTGTTTACATAGATAACCACCGAGTCTCACTGCAACCCTGAGGGCTATTCTTTCTATCTTACACGTGGAGACAGAGACACAGGTTAAGTAACTTGACACAAATTACACAATTAGGTTCTGAGAAGCTAAGCTCCAGACTCAAGACTCAAGGCACTTTTTGATCCCAAATTCAGTGCTTTTTGTACTTCACTGCTTTCTGTCTAAAGCCATGCTTATGTTGTTTCCCTCCCTGCAGACTGAGACAGCTGAACTAGTTAACCAAAAAGAGTCTTTCTGGCTCTAGGTATCAATTTCTTGAAGGACAAATAAAATGTACAGTGGTTCCTGGGTACCTATTTAGAAACAGATGAAGAAACTTACAAAATTCATTTGTGTGTGTGTGTGTGTGTGTGTGTGTGAGAGAGAGAGAGAGAGAGAGAGAGAGAGAGAGAGAGAGAGAGAGAGACAGAGAGGAGGTGTATGAGTGGGTACAAGTAATTATATTTTCTTTTTTAAATGCTTAGAAATGTCATTTCCTTATTCCTTCATGTTTCAAAATTTGCCTGAGCCCTTGGTTCTTTATTTCTGTCCTCTTTTTCTTCCAGTTTTAGCTCCCATGCCCCCTCTCCCAATCACAGCATCTCACATCTTCACTGTTGAAAGGCTGTGGTAGAAGGAGCATGAACAAATGGCTCCAGCCATGACCGTTGAAGCTAGAATCTTTCACCTACCAGCTACTTAATTTGGGGCAGATTATACAATGTAATGAACGCCAAGCTTTAGCATACAGTAGACTCTCAGAGAACAGCAGCTATACTAAGGAACATGTTATACTCCTCTTTCTTTCCCCAGAAGAAAGGCTGGCTGAGAATGATCAGCTTTATCAGGAGCTTTTGCAAGTACCGCAGATTTATGTCGAATCCTAGTAAGCGCCAGGAATTTGAAGACTATCTTCACCAGGAAATGCAAAATAGCAAGGAAAGTAAGTCATTTCTGTATTTACCCCACTCCCTGTTGATATTTTAGCCATCAGGGTCAGCCCACATAAGAAGCTTATTGCTTTGTGTCATGCCTGTAGCAGCCTGGAGTCTGGCAAAAAACCCCAGGTCCTGTGTGCAAAGCCAACCCCAGGCCTGCCTAGAGAGGATGCAAGCCCAGAGCCCTCTGCTTAAGGAGCCAGCAAGGGTAGGGAATACCTAACCTAAGGCACTGCAAAATCTCACATTTTACAAAATAACTGCCTTATGTTTTTGAATTTGCTCTTTAAAAAGCAGAAGCTTTTTAGCTTGATGTGATCCCATGTGTGTATTTAATCAAACAAGATTGTAATTCCCTCTTCTTTCTCTCTCAGATTTCACCTCACCACACAGCACATCGGGACGTTCAGCTCCATCCACCGCAAACGTCCGGAGTGCAGACCAAGAGAATGGAGAAACAACCCTTGTAAAGCGCCGTATATTTGGCCACAGGATTATCACTGTCAACTTTGTGATCAATGATCTATATTTCTTTTCCGAAATGGAGAGGTAAGTTTCCCACCTCTCCTTCTTCTGCCCTGAGAAAGACTTTTCATCCTTAGTACTGCCCAGCAAAAACTGGCTTGCTCTATAAGAGACACAGTGATTTCAGCCCTGCCCAGTAAGAGTCCCTCTTTCTGAAAATCCTGCTGAATGCTGTCACTCAATTGATTTCCATCTTTCTTTTCTTGGGATCCTACAAGCTCTTCAGTATTCCAGAAATTACAATGTTAAAATGCAGTTACTTAGTCCGAGAAAAGGCAGCATGTTTTTCTTTATTATTTATAAATGTGAAAAAGTCCTAAAATGTAACACCATGGTACCAATATTCTTTAGTTAAAGCCAGGAATTATAATATAAATTGTGTGTGTGTGTGTGTGTGTGTGTGTGTGTGTGTGTGTCTGTATAACATTAAAGAGATATTTTTAAGTCTTATTAATGTACATTAATTCACCTGTCAAATTTTTTATCTAAAGCCAAAGTCAATCCACAATGGGAGGTCTGTATATTTGTATAAACTATACCCCAAAAGCTGTCTGCTAGTTATTTTTTTAATTAATACATAAAATCAAGTCTTATTTCTTCTATCTGACTGTGTATTTCTACCCCTTGATCAAACTGTCTTCATCCCCCACCCCCTACCCTTCCCAGCTTCTAGTAATGACTTGAGATCCCCTTTTTTAGCCCCCACATATGAGTAAAAACATGTGATTTGTCTTTCTGTGTTTGGCTTATTTTGCTTAACATAATCACCTACAGCTCCACCCGTGTTGCTGCAAATGACAGGATTTCCTGCTTTTCTGTGGTTGAACACTATTTTATTGTGTATCTGTATACACCACATTTTCTTTAACCATTCATCCATTGATGGACCCTTAGGTTGATTCCATATTCTGGCTATTGTGAATAGTGCTACAGCAAACGTGGGAATGCAAATATCTCAACATACTGATTTCCTTTCCTTTAGACATATACCCAGTATTAGGATTGCTGGATCACATGGAAGTTCTATTTTTAGCTTTTTGAGGAAGCGCCATACTGTTTTCCACAATGGCTGTGCTAATTGGTACAAGGTTGCCCCTTTTTACACATGCTCACCAGCGTCCATGTCTTTTTGATAATAGCCATTTTAAGTAGGGTAAGATGATAGCTCATTGTGGTTTTGACTTGTGTTTCTCTCATGATTTGTGATGTTCGCAGTTTTTCATATACCATTTGGGCATTTTTATGTCTTCTTTTGAGAAATGTCTGTCTAGATCTTTTGTGTATTTTAAAAATCAGATTATTTGGGTTTTCTATTATTCAGATGTTAGAGCTCCTTATATATTCTGATGATTAATCTCCTGTTTGATAGATAGTTTGCAAATATTTTCTCACATTCTATGAGTTGTCTCTTTATTTTGTTGATTTTCTTCCTTTGCTGTGCAGAAGCTTTTTAGCTTGATGCGATCCCGTTTGTGTATTTTTGCATTGGTTGCCTGTGCTTCTTACACAAAAACCTTTGCCCAAACCAATGTCCTGCCATGTTTCCCCAATGTTTTCTTCCAGTAGTTTCAGAGTCTCAGATTTAAGTCTAAATGTGTTAAACATTTTTATTTGATTTTTGTATATGGTGAGAGATAGTGGTCCAGTTTCATTCTGCTGCATAAGGACATTTAGTTTCCCCAGCACCATTTATTGAAGAGATGGTTCTTTCCCCCATTGTACATTCTTGCCACCTCTGTCAAAAGTGAGTTGGCTACAAAGGCATAGATTTACATCTGAATTGTCTATTCTGTTGCATTGTTCTCTGTTTCTGTTTTTATGCCAGCACCATGCTGACTTAGTTACTATAGCTTTGTAGTATATTTTGAAGTCAGCTAGAGTGATGCCTTCGGCTTTGTTCTTTTTGGTCAGGATTGCTTTGACTATTCAGGGTTTTTTGTGGTTCCATGTAAATTTTTGGATTGTTTTTTCGATTACTGTGAAGAATGCCATTGGTATTTTGATAGGAATTGTACTGAATCTATAAATTTATTTGGCTAGTATAGACATTTTAATACTGTTATGTTTTCCAATCCATTAGCATGGAACGTACTTCAATTGTGTGTGTGTGTGTGTGTGTGTGTCCTTTTCAATTTTTTCATCAGTATTTTCCTTGTATATATCTTACAGTTCTTTGTTTAAATTAATACCTAGGTATTTTATGCTTTTCGTGGCTATTGTCAATGAAATTGCTTTCTTGATTTCTTTTTCAGATTGTTCATTGTTGGTGTATATAAATGCTTCTGATTTTCTTATGTTGATTTTGTATTCTGCAACTTTACTGAATGTATGAGTTCTAATAGGCTATTGGTGAAGTCTTTAGGCTTTTCTAAAGATAAGAGTGTCAACTGTGAACAAGGTTAATTTGACTTCTTCCTTTCCAATTTGGATACCCTTTATTTCTTTCTTTTGACTAATTGTTCTGGCTAGAACTTCTAGTACTATAATGAATAAGAGTAATGAGAGTGGGCATCCTTGACTTGTTTCAGATCTTAGAGGAAAATTTAAAGTTTTTCCCCATTCAGTATGATGTTAGCTGTGGGTTTGTCATATATTTGCATTTATCATTTTGAGGTATGTTTCTTCTGTACTCAATTTGTTGGGTTTTTTTTTTTTTTTGTCATAAAGAGATGTTGAATTTTATTGAATGCTTCTTCACCATTTATTGAAATGATCATATGACTCTTATTCTTGATTCTGTTAATGTGATATATCACATTTATTGATTTGCATATGTTGAACCATCCTTATATTCCTGGGATAAATCCAATTAGATGATGGTGAATGATCTTTTTAATGTGTTGTTGAATTTGGCCTGCTAGTATTTTGTTGAGGCTTTATGCATCTGTGTTCATCAGTGATTTTGGCCTGTAGTTTTCTTTTTTTTTGTTGCATCCTTTTCTGGTTTTGGTAGCAGGCCAATGTTGGCCTTGTAGAATGAGTTTTTCCTATTCTCCCCTTTTGAATTTTTTAAGAGTTTAAGTAGAATTGGTATCAGTTTTTATTTAAATTTTTGGTAGAATTAATGCCATCAGATCCTGGCATTTTCTTTGGTGGGAAACTTATTATGGCTTCAATCTTGTTACTCATTATTTGTTCGTTTGAGTTTTCTATGTCCTCATGATTCAACCTGGTAGTTTTTGTGTGTCCAAGAATTTATCCATTTCTCCTAGGCTTTCCAATTTGTTGGTGTATAATTGTACCTAATAATCTCTAGTGATTATGTCTCTTTTTTGTTTCTGATTTTATTTATTTGGGTCTTCTCTTGCCTTTATCAGTCTAGCTAAAGGCTTCATGATTTTGTTTATATTTTTTAAAAAACAACTTCTTGTTCATTAATCTTCTGGGGATTTTTTAGTCTTAATTTCACTTATTTCCACTCTGACATTTATTATTAATATTTTATTACTTCTACTAATTTTGGGGTTTGGTTTGTTCTTGTTTTTTCAATTCCTTGAGGGCATCATTGGGTTATTTGAAGTCTTTCTACTTTTTTGATGTAAGTATTTATTTTTCTAAACTTTCCTCTTAGTACTGTTTCTGTTGTAGCCCATAGATTTTGGAATATTTTATTTCCATCTTCGTTTGTTTCAAGAAGTTTTTTAATTTTCTTCTTTATTTCTTCATTGACCCATTGGCCATTCAGGAGCATGTTGTTTAATTTCCACATACTGTACAGTTTCCAAGGTTTCACTTGGTATTGATTTCTAGTTTTTTTCCATCATGGTCAGACAGGATCCTTGATTTTATTTCTACTTTTGGAAATTTGTTGAGACTTGTTTTATGGTCTGTTTTGGAAAATGTTCCATGTGCTGATGAAAAGATTGTGTATTCTGTAGCAGTTGGGTGAAATATTCTGTAAATGTCAGTTAGGCCTATTTGTTGTGGTGTGTAGTTTAACTACAATTTTGTTATTGATTTTCTGTCTGCATGATCAGTCCATTACTAAGAGTGGGGCATTGAAATCTCCTAATATTGTATTGCAATCCTTCTCTCCTTTTAGATCTTTTAATGTTTGCTTCATATACTTGGGTGTTCTCATGTTGGATGCATTGATATTTATAATTTTTATATTCTCTTACTGAATTGACCCTTTTATCATTATATAGTGACTCTGTCTCTTTTTAGAGTCTTCAACTTGTATCCTATTTTGTCTGATATAACTATAGCTATCCTGGTTTTTTTTTTTTTTTTTTTTTTTTTTTTTTTTTTTTTTTTTTNTTTTTTTTTTTTTTTTTTTTTTTTTTTTTTTTTTTTTTTTTTTTTTTTTTTTTTTTTTTTTTTTTTTTTTTTTTTTTTTTTTTTTTTTTAGGTTTCTACTCACATAGAATCTTTTCCATCCCTTCACTGTCAGTATATGTGTGTTTTTATAGGTGAAGTGGGTTTCTTGTGAGTAGCATGTAGTTGGGTCTTGTTTCTTGTCATCCAGCCACTGTACCTCTTTTAATTGGAGAATTGAGTCTATTTACATTCAACATTCTTATTAATAAGTAAGGACAAACTACTGCCATTTTGTTGCTTATTTTCTGGTTGTTTTTGAACTCCTCTTTTCCTTTCTTACTGTCTTCTTTGTGATTAAGTAATTTTCTCTGGTAGTGTATTTTAAAGCATTGCTTTTTATTTTTAATGTAACTATTAGAGGTTTTTGTATTGTGGTTACTATGAAGCTTACCAAAAATATTTTGTGGATATAACAAATTATTTTAAAGAGATGACAACTTATCATACATCACAAAGAAAAGAATAAAAACAAAGAAAAAACTAAAATGAACCTCTACACTTTAACTCCATCCTCTTAACATTTGGACATTTTGTCTCAATCTACATGTTTTTTATTGTTTATCTCGTATCAGATTGCTTTAGCTATTGCTGTTTCTGATAAATTTGTTTTTTAGATTTCACACTAGGATTATGAGTAAACTGCACACCACAACTACTATATTAGAATATTCTGGGTTGGTCTCTGCACTTACTTTTACCAATGAGTTTATAGCTTCAAATGTTTCCTTCTTGCATGTTAGTCTCATTTTCTTTCAGAACACTCTTTAGCATTTCTTGTAAGACATGTCTGTTGGTCATGAATTCTCTCAGCTTTTGTTTGTCCAGGAAAGGCTATCTCCCCTTCATAGTTGAAAGATAGCTTTGTGGGATATAGTACTCTTGGACAGTGGGGTTTTTTTGTGTTTTTTTTTTTGTTGTTGTTGTTCTTGGCGCTTTGAAAATGTTTTCTCGTTTTCTCCTGGCCTGTATGGTTTCCATTGAGAAGTCTGTTGCCAGATGAATTGGAGCTTTTTTATATATTATTTTCTTCTTTTGCTGCTTTTAGGATTCTCTGTTTGTCCTTAACCTTTAAGAGGTGATTGCTATAATACTTGGGGTAGTCTTATTTGGGTCAAATTTATTTGATGTTCTCTGGATTTCCTGTACCTGAACATGTATGTCTTTGTCAGGTTTTAGAATGTTTTCTGTTATTGTTTTGAGAAAGTTTTCTCTTCCTTGCTCTTGCTCAACTCCCTCTTGAACACCAATAATATTTATATTTGATCTTTTGAAGTAATTTTACTTTTTTCTCCTCTGTCTCACTATGTTTGAATTCTGAGGCGTTGCTGGTAATAACCTCAGTACTATTTCTTTTGAGTTTCCATATGGGGAATGAAGCCAACTTGCTTCTACGCTAACATTTTGGAACTTAAAGTGTCTGTCTACTGATTTGAATTTTGATCTCTTTAAAGTGGAACAGAATTTAAAGATTACTTGGAAGCAATTTAATCCTTCTGGATTTTTATGTTTTTTTTATTTTTTATTTTTTGAGATGGAGTCTTGCTCTGTCCTCAGGCTGGAGGGCAGTGGTGCAATCTTGCCTCACTGCAACTAAGGTTCAAGCAATTCTCCTGACTCAGCCTCCCAAGTAGCTGGGACTACATATACGTGCCACCATACCCAGCTAATTTTTTGTATTTTTAGTAAAGACAGGATTTTACCATATTGGCCAGGATGATATCAATCTCCTGACCTTGTGATCTGCCTGCCTTGGCTTCCCAAAGTGCTGGGATTACAGGCATGAGCCACTGCACTTGACCAACAGCATTTTTTTTTAAAGCTGCTTGCCTTCATTAGAATTTCCAAAACATTCTAATTTGTTTTTTTAGAAATAACAACTTTTCTTTTAAAATATGAACTTTTAAAATATGTTCATATTTTATCAGTTTTCACAAGTTACTTATCATGGCAATTACAGTTACTAATTATCTTTACAGAAGGGAAAGATATTTGGAAAGAAACACAACTCCTGGTACACATTCACCTCAACTAGTTTGAGAAAGGTGAGAGTGTACTAAAGATGTCCCACTAATCTATGCAGTCGGCATGTCATGGATATCAGTCAGTGTGTTTTTCTAGGCACCTGGTAACTCATACATCAGTTAGAAATGTTTGGTTAAGAGATCTTCTACTGTACCCCAGTAATGGATTTAGCTCATTTCCACAAATGCTTGTTGATTGTTTACTCTTTCTTGAACACTGGATTTGACATCGTATATACAAAAACAACTAAGATGTGTTCTCTACTTCTAAGGTTCCACAAACTAATGAGTGTGGCAGAAAAGACAGAAATAAAAGTTAGGAAATGTCTCAGGATGATAGGTGCTATGGGAGAATCAGGCACAGGAAGTGTACTTAGACAACTGTAAGTCCTCAGGAATGGTTTCGTGGGAGGCCCAAAATTCTTGGGTCATCTAAGCTAAATTTTGAACGTAGAGTAGGGGTTAGTCAGATAATAAGGTATGTAGGGGGAGGTAAGGGAAGAGCAGAGGGAAATAGGTACTAGTCCGAGTGAACAGCCTTGCCTGCTGCTGCTCCAATTCCCACCACATTGCCTCTTCTTCCTCGCTTGACCTCTGCAAACTATTCTCTGTATAGCAACCAGCATGTCCTACTAAAAACATAAGCCAGACTAGATCATTCTCCTGCCTAAAAAGTTCTACTGTCTTCCCATTACCACTGGAACGAGTGCAAACCTCCTCTCATTGCCTAAAGTGGTCTACAGCACCGGGACCTGCCTGCAACTCAGGACTTGCCTCAGGTCAGCACAGGAGAGGGAAGAGCAAGATAGCCCTTAGGTCCTGAAGTCATTAGAAGTGAAAATGCTGCTGGGCCACAATGGGTAAAGAAGGGAGGACGGGTTGAATAAGAGGGTTTGTGGTGAAGAAATTCACCTGAAGGGGCACATGACATGTTATCTGACCTGTGATAGGTGCTCAATATTTGCCAGTGGATGAATTATAACTGAATAAATCAAGTCACAACCTGGCCTAGAACTGGCCTTGCCTTTTTGGGCCGGAGGTAAGTCTAGGCTGGGCGCCTTCTTAGTCACTGTTTTCATCTTCTCCTCCTGATTTCCTACTTAACATCTTTTTTTTTTTAGATTTAATGATCTGGTGAGTTCAACCCATGTGCTGCAGGTCAACCGGGTATACAACGAGAATGATGTGATCCTAATGCGCTCCAAAATTAACATTATCCAAAAGCTCTTCCTGAACTCTGACATCCCTCCAAAGCTGAGGGTAAGAGAGACTCACATTCCACTCTGGCCTTTCGCCAAGAAGCATTTCCCCCATAAGGACAATTAGAAAACTAATTGTCAGGCACCTTGTAAGTCCCAGCCAACTCAATATCCTTTATCTAGCAACTCCATGAAAAGCTTCTGCCTTCTGGAGAGGGGGTGGTCATGGGGTTCTGGGGGCCTGCCAGTGACAGGCTCCCACTCTGCGGGTAGGTCAATATCTCTGAATCCCAGAAGGATGCCATCCTTGCTGCCATCACAGAGGGCAACCTAGATCGGAGCGTATTCCACGGGGCTATCATGTCTGTCTTCCCCATCATTATGTACTTCTGGAAAAGGTAACTGTTTCTCCTTACTCAATGACTGCCAGGTCAGGAAAACACACTTAGTTTGGAGAGAGTTTTCTGGCTTCCTCTAGCCCTCTGTTTCATGGTTTCTGGTTTCTAGGGGAGCTAAGATGATGTTTTCTTATCCTACCCACCTCACTCCATCCCTCACACAGAACACCAAACACTGAATCCACAGACGGAAGGCAGAGTAAGGCTGAGAACCCAGACTGCTGGTTTCCCACCTCTCCTCTTTCTGTGCTTGCTTGGAGTAAGAATGTGAGGTTTTCTTAGGCCTGGGTTTCTCGCCAGAGGGTAAGAGTGAACCACAGCCACTTGGGGAGAAATTCTGTCAAGGCTAACACAACCGCTTGTGCTTAAGGAGCTGCATGAAGGAAGCAAGCCAGAAGTGTTTTGCTCTGCTCTGCCCAAACCCCCATAATTACTACTGAGGGGGCACAGTTGCTAGATACTCCAATTATCAAGAGGAGCTAGAAACTCAAATTTTTATGTCCTCTCTCTCAAGGTTAAAGTGGCAAATGTGGCAACTAACAAAACTAAAACCCAGTGAAGAAACTGTGAAGGCCAAAAACCAAAAATGAAACAAGCAAACTATCTGCAGATATTCTGTGGCCCACTGGTTTCTAACCTGTCCTGTGGAGGCCTGGCCTGAGCCCTCTCAGCTGCTTGTTTATTCCTGTGGTCTGCCAGAGTTCCAGCTCATGTCTTCCACACAGTGAACGGCAATGCCTTGGGTGGTAGTGACCAGAGGACACCTGGCTGAAATGTTCCCAGGCAAAGCTAATCAGGACACTTAGGCTGTCATGTGGCTTGGGCTCTTAGGAGTTCCCATCTTCCACCAAAAAAGTAGTTACTTTACTAAAATATAAGTGTGAAATTGCTTACCAGTCTCTAACCTTTATTTTAAAATCCCTAAGATAATACATTATTTAATACAGAACCTAGAGAAGTCCAAAAATCTAAGTTCAAAACAAGCAGCTTGGCATTTTGAACATCAAATGTTGTCTAGCACTTAATTCTAGTTCTCCAGGCAAGGACTCAATAGACATTCACCTGGAGACTTTTGGAGGGAGTGGGAATCTCTGGGAAATATATGCTTCTCTTGAATGAGCCAGTGTTCCACCATCTCCTAAGCGCTTAGAAAAATCAGACATGCTTTAGGGAGGCTTTGAATTCCTGTTCTTCCTGCAGTTTCTTTACCTACTTTCCTACATACTTATAAAGAGATTTATATTATGCAAACTGTGTTTACATATATACCTTAAATACTCCTCCCAAACCCTATGCAGTGGGTGGGGAGGAGTATTATTATTCCTATTTTACCGATGAGGAGATCGAGGTTCAGAGTGTTTGAGGGATTTGCCTAGGATCACTCGGTAAGTGGTAAAACCAGCATTAGAAACAAGGTCTCTTCGTCTCTCATCACCATAAATAATGCATGTGTGGCATTATTTATGAGACCCAGTTCAGCAAGTGAAATGGGAAGAGCCTACTGGGATAGAGCAGACTGTCTCTCAAGGAGAGGGGAGGAGGACAGCAAGCAAAGCCACCAGAGCCAAAGTGCCATAGAAAATAAATTCAGTCTTAGCCAAGATTGACCTCCAAGGTCTAATCCAAGGACTGGCTGAGGGTAGGGATAACAAGGGGTTTGGAGTCAGGTAAAAAAAGATAGCATGTGCTGCACAGGCATCTAGAGAACAACAGTTTTCAGGTCACAAAGAGTATATAAATCTGAGTTCACATGAGAAACCAGGTCTGTTCCAGGGAAGGGCCTGCTGGGAATAGAGTGGGGTGGGCAAGGCTCTCAGTAAGGGGCAGGGTGGAAACCAGGATTGAGGGCCTGAGCAAAAGCCTTTCAGGCCCTCTGGCCATGCCAGGTGGGGTCAGATAGGGATGTCAGAGTCTGATGCTGGGGTGCACCCCAGGGGTTAGCCTCACCTCAGGCCTGGGGCTAGCAGGCTCTTTACAGGTCCATTCACCAGTGGTGTTCCAGAAAGAAGTCCCAACAAACTGCCCATGCCAGGACCTCACTGGAGCCAGGTCTGGACAAAGAGGAGGCCTCAGAAAAAAGGCCACTAGCAGGTAGTACCCCGAGGCCAGGATGCTCTCCTCTTCTCTGTCGGACACCCACATTTTCCGAGGACTGGCTTAGCCCATTTCCCCTGTGCTCAGTGCTCCAGCCCCCTCCACTGGGGGTTCCCGCCTGTGACCAGGAGCCATTCTTCCCACAGGTTTTGTTTCTGGAAGGTGACCCGCTCTTACTTACAGCATAGGGGGAAGAAGTTCAAGGACAGAAAAAGCTCTCCTAAATCTGTGGACAAGTATTCCTTGTGGAGTGGAGGTAAGCTCCACCACGACTCACAGCCCCATTCTCTAGCAACTGAGACTTGCAAAGAGAAAGCAAGGGCTCAAGGGGCCAACGTCAAGACTTCCCCACGGGTATCTGCTGGAGCAGGACAGCTCATTTACGTGGCCCTCAGGGAGACGGAGCACTCAGGGTAAAGCATGAATTCTGTGTCACTAGCAGTAGCTCCCGGACGCCTCTGTGCCTGCTCATCACAGTCTGCATTGAGGGTACATGGAGAGGACGACCTGCTTTTCTGCTGCTTAAGAAGCCTCCTGCTCTATCTCCATTAAACCCTCCCATTAAGAAGGCATTTATTTTATAGCGTTAAGTGACAACATTAAAAACGGTATATATAGTTTTAATGTGATATATATCTTTATGCATATATAATTTTCATGAAAGCAGACATATTTATGTAAAAAGCTGATATATAAAAACATGCACATATTATGAACACATTTGTAAAAAAATAATATGTGCATATATACATATATATATATACATACACACACACACAGAGTCATGTACCACATAATGAAGTTTCAATCCATAACAAACCAGATATGCAATGGTAGTCCCATAAAATTATAACTCTATTTTTACTGCACTTTTCTCATGTTTAGATATGTTTAGATGCACAAACACCGTGGTGTCACAATCGCAACAGCATTCAGTATAGTAACATACTACATAGGTTTGTAAGCTACCAGCGACAGGCTATTCCATAAAGCCTGGGTGTGTAGCAGGCTCTGCCATTTGGTTTGTGTTAGTACCTTCTATGATATTCACACAACCACAAAATCACCTAATGACACATTTCCCGGAATATATCGCTGTCGCACAGCTGTGACTGGTACTTGAGCAAAAGGGAATTTTAACAAGGAAGGGGATGGTGAACAGGGCAGTGGCTGGTGAGGACAAGGCTGGGTGTCTTTCGGGGAAAGTTCTGAAAACCAAAGAAAACAGGTCTGTGAATCTGGGAACAGAAACAGAACAAAATAAGGAGATAGGACAAGAATATTACAAACAGCAACTAACTGCCCCATAACGGAGCCAAACATTCTCTTGATTTAGCTCAAACCTGCTTGATTCTTTTGTCCACATTTCCCAGACACCTACCTCTTCTCCCAGGCCAACTCCCACCCTCTTCTTGTAGTGCAAATGGGTTCCCTTGAGACCTAAATCCCTTTGAACAGTCAGAGAAGCAACTGGCTGGCTGTGGAGCCCAACTCCTGCCCCTCTGAGGGATTCCTCGCCTCAACAGGAAAGAAATCGCCTACCTTTGGCCTGCAGTCACCCCAGTGATCCAGAACGTTGCTCAATACCCTATTATCTGCCTTGCAAAATGCCACATCAGCAGACAAGAATCAGCAATCATGTCCGTACATGGGTAATGTGTCCTTGTGGCAGGGGTTGTGGGATGTACTTGTTTAGGATGGGTGTGGGAGTGAAGAAAGGAGAGAAGAAGACTAGGAAAAGGACAGAGATGCAGGTAAGCAGGGCAAGCAAACAATATTCATTCTGAGGAGTGAGTACCACTACTTATTCAGTGGTAGCCAAAGAGCTTCCAGCTCTTGGCTTATTTCCTATAGCTGAGCTTCAGGGAAGTAAATCCCTACATTTATTCTGTTATCAAATGGAGGGGGAAAGCCAGCAGGATCACCTGAATCAAGGGATCAGGGTTCCAGACTTGGAGAGTCATCATGTACAAGCTGAGAGACCTTGAGCATGGTGCTTCCCACTCTCAGCCTCATGCCCCTGATCTCATGTCTCAGTCCATTTTGTGTTGCTAAGACAAAAATATATCTCAGACTGGGTGATTTATAAAGAAAATAAATTTATTTGGCTCATGAATCAGGGGACTGGGAAGGCCAAGAGCATGACACTGACATCTGGCAAAGGGCTTTATGCTGTATCACCACCTGGTGGAAGGCAGAAGGGCAAGAGAGTGTGAGAGAGAACATGAGGCTGCTGAACTCACCCTTTTAATAAACCCACTCCCATGATAATGGCATTAATCCACTCATGAGGGCAGACCCCTCGTGGCCTCATCACCTTTTAAAGGTCGTATCTCTTAATACCATCTCTATGACAAATTTCAACATGAGCTTTGGAGGCAACATTCAAACCACAGCACCTCAGATACAAAGGTTTAGATTGAGATAACGTTTTATCATTAACATTTTGTAATCTAAGGTGTGTTAAACAAGAGCTTTATTGCTTACTTAGAAAGATTTATTTCAGTAAATAAGCAGTTGTTGCAGTGTTTTTAATGCTTGTTTTTGTCCTTCCCCAGGAGACAATGCCATCTTAAGGTTCACCTTGCTCAGAGGTATTGAGTGGTTGCACCCTCAACGGGAAGTCATAAGTTCAGCTCAAAATTGTGAGTTGGAGTGGGATCCCCACTGATAGCAAAAGTTTACTACTCAATCAGAGGGTGACTTTAAACCAGCGTGGCCGATCCCCTTATTGACCATAAGGAGCCTGAGACCCCCAAAATGTGAATAACTGACTGAAGATCACACTGCTTGTGAGTGGCAGAGAGGAGGTGAAAACTGAGTCTCCTGACCTCCTTCCATGGCTCTGTGAGCAAGTCTCATCTGAATAATCGTATCTTCCTGGTTTTTTGTAACCGGGGAAGGCAGGCACCTTAAGCTTCTCTGTATCTCTGCTGACTCATCTTCTCATTTCCAGGCATGATGTGTGATCTTTATTAAGAGACTGTGATAATGTCCTAATTGTTACTTCCCCCTCACACTGAGACCAACGCTGGTTTGAACACACCATCCCATACCTCCTGCTTCCTGTAGGCTCCTGCTGTGAATCTCTTCCCTGTCACAAACTGTGCAGTGCTAACCTCCCATACTGAGGCCATATTATGTTCTTTTTCTTCCCCATCTTCAGTCTCAAGGAATCAACCCCACTCCCACGCACTAACCCTGCCTTTGTTTCCCCATGGTCTCTCCCACCAAACTTTCCCTTTCTATCCCAACTGCCAGCTTCTATTAGGGAAAGAGGTTGGAAATACTGCTTTTCTGCTTCTCACGAGCATGAAATGCCAGCAAACCTGACCTGCCCATTTGCACGTGTTTCCTCATTGCTTAATGGGGGAGGCCACTATGGAACATTGCCTGTGATCCATAGGGTCCAAACAGCCCTAAAGTCCTGTGATTCTAGTGTTCATCTGGCCTAATCTCCTATTTTACTTCCCTGGATCTATGTAATTGACATCATAGCCTTTGTGTCCAGATGAAAGGTCTCCTGGGACACACACGAATTGCAGCTTAGAAACCAGGTCACCTGAAGATCCCTGGAACAGGCCAGCTTTACCTTCAGTTTCCAACCCCTGCCCTGGAGGGGTCCCAGAAGCCCTCCTGGCATGGCCCTCCCCAGGCTGGAGGCCTATCAGTGACTGTGTCTGTGCCATGAGTTCTGATGCAGTTTTTTTCTGTGTTTCTCTTTAGCTTCATCAAGCAACTTTACTCAGCCAAGATTCATGATATCTGCCATGCAGCTGTATCCTGTCCAGGGGTAGGCATGAGCCGGAAATCTTCTTCAGTTCAGAGCTGCTATGTCCAGCCGTGCAATGGGAGAGGGGATAGATCTTCTAGAGACTAGCTTCGAACCCTGCCTCTTCTTGGCATGCAGAACCTAGAAATTGAGCTTGCTGCGTCTGGAGGGAAATTAAGGAGGGGTTTCTCTGTGTTTCTCACCTCCAACTAGGACCGGCACTTTTAAGAAGTTGGAGTCTCTGACCCACTTTTCAGTAGAACACTGCTGCTGGTGGAAGCGTCCCAGATGATCTTGTATTTGTATCTGTTAATGTTTTTAGGTTTAAGGAGTTCGAGTGCAGTTTCGTTACATGGATATATTTGGAAGTAACGAAGTCTGGGGTTTTAGTGTAGCCATCATCCAAACACTGCACATTGTACCCATTAGATAATTTCTCATCCCTTACCCACCTCCCACTCTCCCACCCTTCCACATCTCCATTGTCTATTACTTTGCTCTCTATGCCCAGGTGTAATTATTATTTAGCTCCCACTTATAACTGAGAACATGCAGTATTTGACTTTCCATTTGAGTTATTTCACTTAAGATAATGGTCTCCAGTTCCATGCATGTTGCTGCAAAATACATGAGTTTACCTTTTTATGACTGATTAGTATTATATTGTATATATGTCCTACATTTTCTTTATTCAGATGGTCTTTTATTGCCAGCTTCCTGAATATTCCAGCTGTTTAGGGCAGGGTGTGTAAGGTGGGAAAAGAAAGATCTGTTCTTCTGCTTGGCAGGATATTGGCAACAAGAACAGAAGGGACTTAAGTCTGTTAAAATCTGCTTCAGCCTACCTCACTTCTGTACAAGCTTCCAAGTGAAACTGATGCTAAGTTAGGGCTCTGGAAGAATCCTCAGGGGTCCTGAAAACCATAGCTGGGAGTGCCAAAGAGTCGTTTGAGGGCCTAAGTGGCTCCATGTCAACACCAGCTTTAGGTGATTCATGTTCAGATAGTTTGAGGTCATATGACATACCACTTTCTAAACTCTGTACCCGTAATTTTAGTCATATGTAAATGAAGTAGACGGAATACCAACAGGAAAAAAAGGAATCCTTAACATCTAACATCTGACTTGGACTACATACAGGGTATCCTGAGTATACTTTATTTCTAGTAATGATTAGAATACTAAGTAAGCCCTTAAATCTGGGGGTCATTCCATACCCTGTTTCTGGAATATGCACTACGGATAAGTGTCCCTGACCACTGTTTACAACCATAAGCCCAGGGTGGGGGCTGCATTCTCTGACCAAGACTTGTTTTTATTTATTTTTATTTTAGTTTTGTTTTTATGACCAAGGCCCATTTAAAAAAAAAAAAAAAAAAAAAAAAAAAAAACAGCCTCTGAATGACAGTCCTGGTGTACTCGCCAGCCAAGTCACTTCTCAGGCTTGCTTCCAGACCTGTCCTTCCAACAGGGACTTGGAGCTGCACAGCTATTATTTGCCAGTGCCAGTGCCCAGAAGACAAACCAGATACTTTGAGGCTCTTCACACTGGAAAAGCAATGCATGGCCTAGAGCATGTAAGATCTTGGGGAAGAAGGTGAGACTAAGAATGTGAAGACCTGTCCTAAAGCCTGAAGCTTCAGTTTTGGCTACTGCGATTCCTAAAGGAAATGACAGTGACAAACCAGTAGAGAATGCAGCTTCAATTACTAGATCATCATTGTGATAACTGGCTCTTCTCTCTCCCTTTAGACAAAAATCCTACATCAAAAAAGAGAAGTAATTAAGCCAGACCCCCAACAGAGGCAGATCATCTCTCAGAGGCCTCCTAACACTGACAGAACCTTCTCTGGTCAAAAATGAAAGGCCCTAGTTCCATCTTCCCCAGGAATGATCAAGAAGAGTAATGGGGTAACGGCCCAGATATGGCAGGACCAGACTGCAATGGGTAAGACTTGGGCAGAGCATGAGAGGAAGCACTTCTTTCCACGGTGGGCTGGGTCAGGAGACCTGGGCTCTCGGTCTCGCTCTGCAGCTTCACGGTCTTGCGCAGACTCTGGCTCAGATTGTTAAAGAATCCCGTGACAAATGGATGTCGAGATCATTGAATGCAATCAGGAACAAGGTGCCATAATTATCAACAGGGACAGATGGCGTCTTTTAATGGTAGGATCTCCCATTTGGGCAATGACTCACATCCACTGTCTCAGTAAGTCCTCACAACAACCCTGTGGGCAACCACGTCAGAAATCATTTATTTTTAAACCTTAGAGAAGGTAAGTGACTTTCCCAAGATTACTGGGCAGTAAATGGCAGCATCTGGGCTAGAACACACCACTTCTGATGTTTTGTCCTGTTCTTGTTCTATGCCAACCGTTTACGCAACTTTTCATGCACAAAAGGAATTGTTCTTCCCAAGAGTTCTGTTCATTTGCCAACTACTAGATTTTTTAAAAAAACTTTAAAGTTTTTGAGCTAAAGCCCTAAACTATTGTCACAATTTTAAATGAATAGACCTATTTACTCTCCTTTGAAAAAAAAATCAGAAGTAAAATGATTCAGAATTTCCTGAACAAGCCCCCACCGGAGGTAACTGAGGACAGGTTGGCTTGTCATCTCTGTGGGTTACACAACAGGAAAGGTCTGTGAAGTTCTTTGGAGAACCCTTTCAAATTTGCATCCAAAGCTTCCTGTTGTGTCGATGTTTTTTATTTCCCAGACTTTTCACAAGGATGAAAAAGGTGATGTTAGAACAGAGCTCATGAACACCTGAGACTCTGAGGTCACCTGGTAGGGCTGTGCTTGCAGGAGGTCCAGGAAGACTGTAGGCAGACATGATTCTAGAAGACACTGAAAGAAGGCCAGGTGTGGAGAGCCCCCTGGGCCCCTGGGAGAAGGCCCAGCAAGACAGGAAGACCTGGACAAAAGGGCATGAGGCTTCCCTTCCCAAACAGGGCTAGAGTTTTAGAACAGCACTGCAATTCATAGAAAGAAGAGTGGGCATGAAACAAAATCCCAGTTCCTAAAAATCAGGCAAAAAACTAAGGCAAGATCCCAGGTAAGGAATAAAGATTTTAGTTACTAGAATTGAGGTAACAGGGAAGTGCTTCCTCAAAAAGGAACAAGTCAAAAGTCCTATGCATGAGACTGGAGAGGATGTCAGGCCAGCAACAAGGTGACTGACCAGGATCTAGTAAAACACTGACTCACGGTCACATACTGAAATACACTGGCATTGGAGTGGGGCATGGCTGAACCTGCATGTTGGCAGCAGACGGGTCCCACTTAAGGAAAAGAAAGGTAGTTTTCCTGACACATTTAACTTGGATCTTTGCCCCGTCTTCCTGTTTTTTAATTATCTTTCTCTCCACATTCACCACAGGTATACTCGTGCGGGTATACAAACACACAAACATGTTATTTAAAAGGCTTCATGATACTTATTAGGGCAACCTTGAGTTAGAAAAAAACATCTTCTCTTTTATTAAGTCTTGCTGATTGCTTCTTTTACTTTCTTGCATACTCCCTTCAAAGATCCCAGATCTAACATGTTCTCATGCCAGTTAGGCTAGTGTCACTAAGTCAGTCACCTGTAGAATACAGGCAAGGCGTATAAATGAGTAAAGCAGCCCATGAGAGAGAAGAGGGAGTGGTAGACTGCAGCTAACTGGAGAACATGTCCCAGAGGGGACAGAGACTCTGCTCAAGCCAGCCAACTTAGTGTTGCCAGAGCTTCTACTTAGAAGAGGAAGGAAGGAAGGGAGGGAGGGAGGGAGGGAGGGAGGGAAGAGAAATTTAAAAATTTTGTAACATTACAGTTAAAACAAAACTTAGCTGGGACAAGATTGACCTACAACCCAACAAATTGCAATCTTTGCTTTAATTATTATTTTTTTGCCCTTTAAAATGGTTTTGGTCCTGGATCCAGTTTGAATAAAAAATATGGGAGGGGATGAAAAGGAGACCCAACAATAGATCCAGGGGCCACTGCCATCTAAGGAAAAGGCCAAGAAAGAGGGACCAGGTGAGGAACCTGGCCCACTTCAGTTCCTGTAGTTTCATTTTGCTGCAATAACAAGTTACCATAAATTTTGTGGCTTAAAACAAATTATTATTTTACAAGTCTGTGGGTCAGAAGTCTGACCTGGGACTCAAGCTAACATCAGGGTGTCAGGAAGGCTGTGTTCCTCTCTGGAGGCTATGGGGGAGGATCTGTTTCCTGATTCATTCAGGTTGTTGGCAGAATTCAGTCCTTGTAGGTGTAGGACTGAAGTCTCGCTTCCTTGCTGGCTGTCAGCTGAGAGCCGTTCCCAGCTTCTGAGAAGCCACCTGCATTCCTTGGCTCATGGCCTCCTTCCTCTGTCTTTAAAGCTAGCAATGGTGGGTCAAGTCCTGCCCGTTCTTTGAATTTCTCCTGCCTCTTCTTCTATCATCGCATCTCTCTGACTCCCTATTCTGCCTCCCAACTCCCTTTCAAGGGCCCACCCACATAATCCAGAATAATGTCTCTATTTTAAGGTCCTTAGCCTTAGTTCCACCCACCACCTTCATTTTGTTATGGAAGGTCACACACTCACAGGTTCTAGAGATTAAAGTGTGGCTATCCTAGGGAGGTCACCAGAAATTCTGCCTGCCACAGTTCTAGACACCTTCCTTAGAAAAGAATGTATGAACTCACAATCTGGGCTTCTGATGCAATTATTGCCTTCTAGAGACTTGGGAAACCCATTTTTTTCTTTCTCTTGTCATATCTCCGACTACTCTTTCTCATTCTTCTTCATATTTCTTCTGCTTCTTCCTTAAATATCAGTGCCCCCTGTGGCTCTTCTGTTCAATGTACCTTCTTATGATGCACTCTCCCATTCGCCTGAGATCCCTAGCCCCTAGCTTCTTGTCCAATAGGATCCACTGTAAATTTACCATTCTAACAGGATCCAGAGCACAAATTTAATGCATCCCAAATCAATTTTGGCCCCTTTATTTCTTTTCTCCAGTCAACCTCATCTTCCAAGCTAGAAAACTTAGAACCATCCTCAACTCATTCCTCTGCCTCCCCTCCCATATTTTACCTGCAGGAATGGGAACTTCTGCCACTCTACCCTGGACATGTCGCTGCCATCCAGACCTTCCTCTCTGTCCTACTGGCACTGCCTTCGTCAGGCCCTCGTCCCCATCACTGGCCCTGTGACATCACCACACCTCCCTCTCCACACACACCCACCACACTCTGCTTCATCCCACACTGAGAACAAATCTGACCAGCTTATTTCCTCCACATGAAAGCCTTTATTCCCCTTCTTCACCTGGTTGAAAAAGACTCAATTCCTTTGTGGGACATACAAGGCCATTGCTAATATGACCTCAGTCCAGGTTTCCAGGTTCATCTTTTTCCTCTCTGTTTCATACACTCCATTCTCCAGCAACATTGTGATTGTCTAAAGGGCCCTCCCCTTTCTTCTGCATGACACAGACGTCACACTGTGACAACTCCTGATTCTCCTTTCTCCTCTTACTCTCTCTTTGTTTCTGAGACACATCTTTTCCTCTCCTTGAGATACTTATTCATGTATGTGTCTCATCTACTAGACGACATACTTTTGTAGGGCAGATACCAAGTCCTATTTTGATTTGTACCTAGAATAGACCAAGAACTATTTTTCACCATACCTAGCACAGTGACATGCAGATAATGGTTGCCTCATAAATACATATTGAATGCATGAGAGATGAATTGTGCTGGGTGCTGGGAATGCAGTGGGGGAAACAGAATGTGAAGTTCGTGCTTTCACTGACCTTATAGTCAGTCAGACCGTGCTATTAACAGAAAATCAATTCAATTATCAATTATAGTTGTGACTGCCACAAGAAAGAAGAAATAGCAAATGCTATTGTCTTCATGAATTTTTTATATTCCAATAAATCTTGATGCTTTAAGAACTCTGTTTTTTAGGAAGCTCACACAACCCATTCAGACTAAAGGGTGACGGGACGAGGCAGAGGAAAGCAGAAAGAGCAAGGGTGACTGAGCTCTGCCTTCACCGTCAGGGAAGCCTTTTCTGATACATGTCAGAGAGTGACATGAAGTCTCCCCTCTTTCTACAGAAGTATGAAAAGACATCTGTCCCTCATTCTGAGAGCCTCCAACTGATCCAAGTGTCGTCCAGAGGAGGAGGTGGCTCGTGTATGCAGGACCTCAGGGTGCCGGCCCTCACCCATACACCTCCAGGGCTGCAGGTCGTTAGCCAGAATAAAGGAATAAATTCACAATCTGTGGGCTTGCCATCCTCTTCTTAAGTAAAAGAGCACAGGGAAAGTGATAAGTTGCTCCCAAGAGGGCTCCCAAGGCCATGTCCAATCCAAGTGATTCATGGATACAATACTTCTCTTCACA